AAAATATAATTATAGAAAAAAAAATAAGGGGGGGGAAAAGGAAAAACAATCTATACAAAAATAAGACTCTTTTACTGAAGACAGAGTTTAAATTAAATCCTGTCAATTATTTTCTTAAAAAAATCCAAAACCACAAAAATGACTAAACTAAAACTAAATCTGACAAGCTGTGTAAGTCTTCTTCATGACTTTTACTGAAAACAGCAAATTTAGATAAAAAGGTGAGCTCTATACTGATCAAAGAAATTAATTTCATACCTGGGATACCAGCAGTCAACACAGTTTGCAATTCAGCATTCAAACTAAAGAACACCCTCATTGCTATCAAGTCAGAACTAACTTATAGCTAACCGCCCAGTGGGTTTTCCAAGGCTGTAGCTCACATGAGGAGAGACTGCACACCTTTCTTCAGAGCAGCTAGTAGATTTGAACCACTTGCCTTTTGTGTTCGCAGCACAGCTCTCTATTGACTAGGCCACCAGGGCTCCCTCATCAGAATTAACAGCTTAACTATATAAAATAAAAATCACTGAAACAAGACAATGGACTTTACTTACCTTGCATATGTGTTTTTGGTTAATTGAGAAGTGGGATGGAAATAAGGCTTCAGGGAGACTCAGGAAGGTTACAGAGCTTTACCTTTGCAGAATGGACATGTAAGCATAGATCTGGCAGAAGTGGAACTACAAGGAGCAAGCGTGATCAGAAGGAAATAGCAAAACAGTCAGTGTAACTAAAGCACAGTGAGACAGAGACAGAGAGAAGAGTTAAGTGAGAATAGTTAGGGTGAAATCATGTCATGAGTTTTGGACCTAGGAGTGGTACCAGATTTTATTTTGAGTGAAGTAACAAGCTACTGAAGAGTTCTGAACAAGAGAGCAGCACGGGTTCGGGGGTAGAAATAGAGAGCAGTATGTGACTTGATTCAGATTGTAAAGATCTCTCTGCCTGCTATATGGAGAAGTGACCAGAGTGGAGTACAGAGAAGCAGCATAGACACCTGTTAATGTGGATGTTGTAGTAGCTCAGGTGAAAGATTTGCTGGGATTTGTCTGGTAGTGAAGTGAGAAGTAGTCAACTATATCTGTTTTAAAGGCAGATTAGTAGGACTGAATGTAAGACATAAGGAAAAGAAGTGTTAGCAATGACTTTGGCCTGAGTACTTTGGTGAACAGTGATCTATTTACTGAAATGAAGATGGCAGGCTTGGGTTTGGAAAAGATGCTTGTTATGAATCTAATATGAGTTGTGATGTAAGCAGATACAAACCTGTAAGACATAGTAGAGGAAAGAGTGAAACACAAAAACTTGAGACTCACAGGCATTTAGGGGAAAAAAAAAATATATATATATATATAACACAGGGCTCAATAGAGTACTTGTGCTGACCATCAAGAATGGAGATAGGTAAGTGAACACAACAGGAACGAGACCAAGATCCTATACTACTGAGAACTTGGGAGGAGGAACAGCCAGAAATGAAGACTGAGAAGACAAAACAAATGGGATATGAGGAACCTAAAATAACTGTTTCCCCAGAAGCCATGTGGCTATAACATTTTAAGAAAGAGGGTCATATCAACCATATCAAGTGCTATTAAGAGGTCAAATAAAATAATACTAAATTTGACAAGGCAGTTGGCATCTACCAAGAGTTTCAATGGGACAGAAAGGGTTGCTGCACACTAGGCAAAGGTCAAGGAGAAAATGGAAGATAAGAAACAGAGATGACAGTGGAAGAGTTTTTGCAGTGCATAAGAATGTACAGAGAAATAGGGCAGTAAGAGTCTTTCATTTTGTGTTTAAAATGGAAGATATCTGAGCACGTTTATAACCTAAAGAGTAGGAAAAGCTGATGCAAGACATGGTAGGGATAATGGCTCAAAGATCCTAAGCAGGTGTTTGAGAATGGGATCTAATAAACAAATGGAGGAATAAGCTTCAGTAGGAATAGTAACAGTTCATCCACTGTTAATAGAACAACTGGATTATTACAGATCCTATTAGTGCTGTAAATGAATGGCTACAGATGTAGTCTGGAAGATGAGTGGCTTCTGATGATTTATGCTTTCCGAGTAAAAGAAGAGTCAACAACAGAGAAAATGAATCTTGAAGGTTTGAGGAAAGGAGAGGATGTATCTGTGAACGGGGAAGTAAATGACCCTGGAATGCATAATGGATTGTCTACACAGTACTGAAGGCCTGCTAGCGACTTGTGGTCCTATGTCCAAAATGAGATAAATTAATAAATTTCTGTGTTAATCTCATTCTAGATTCCACTGCTCTGATCTAGCAGGATTATGTAGGGTTATGTATTCCTTATCTAGTGCTGCTATAAAATAAATACCACAAATGCGGGAGCTCTGGTGGCCTAGTGGCAAGAAGCTGCACTACAATCTTAGAGGTGTGCAGTTCAAATCTAGCAGAAGCTCTGCTGGAGGAGGGGCAATCTCCTCCTGTACCAGTCACACAGAACACACACAAAAAATAATTTAAAAAAATTAAAAATAAATAAATACCACAAACGGATGGCTTTTAAAAATAAAAATTTTAAAAAAATCTCATAGTTGTTTCCTACCGATCCCGGAAAAAAAAAATCTCATAGTTGACAAGTTCCATCACCTTAATTTTTTCCCTTTTTTAATTGGTTTGCTTACAAAGTTCATATACATTGTTTCACACTAGTCTTCATTCACACTATTTCATACAATCATTCACATGCATTATGTTTTATAAAATTAACTACCATTGGACTTTGCCCATCATTACCCTGTCTTTTCATCTGTATTCTTCCCACTTCCTTCTCCTCTCCCTCCACCCATCAAACTATGCAACCCTGTAGTTTCGCTCCTACCCATCTCAGCCCTCTGCTCCCACCCCTTCCCCTCTTGAGTTTCCACACGTTTTACTAGTTATCCTTCTATTTTTAGGTTAATGGTCTTATTCAGTATTTGTCCTTATGAGACTGAGTTAGTTCGCTCAACATTAAGCTCTCTAGTCTTCATTTTTAAAAATATTTTAAAGTAGTTACAAATTATTACATTTACACTAAAGAAATCTATTAAATCATCTAGATAAAAAATGTAAAATCCAATTCTATTCTAACCCTCTATATTTACTTTCCATCTTATGGTAAGATTGATTGCAAAAATTTGGATAACCAATAGAAGTAACATATAATCTTAAATTTTAAAACATACCTCATTCATTACATGCTCCCTCATTCTAAGCCTTTCTTCTTCCATTTCTATCATATCATCCTCTTCGTTTTTGGGGTCATATATTTTCTCCAACTAAAAAGAAAATTTTAAACCCAGGGTAATTTTTCTTTATCTCTCTCTCTTATTTTATTTTTTAAAAAGGTAATTAAAGGGAAAAAGAAAGAATGGGCAAACATTGAATATAAAATAAACTTATTTACCTCTTTAGTAAAGAGGGCTTCTAATTCTTGTTCATCCAGAAAGCCATCATTATTGACATCTAAAGTTTAAATATGATAAAAGCAAAAACTGATCTTAATACCTTAAGTAATAATTAAAATTATTTACAGACAGTTTGCAACAAGTACTACTGATGTAAACCAAGGTGCCAAAGAAAAAAGTTGGTTTATTTAATGAAGCCTCAGATCATTCCAACTGACAATAATGTGATATTCATCTGTAATTCAGAATAGTTTTTTTAGGGGAAAAAAACCCATTTTAATCCATTTTCCACAAAATTTCAAAGCAAAACGTTCTATAGAAATAAATTTTAATACTGTATCAGGAAGCCTGTTATCAGCTAGCCAGATAAAATGCCTTCAGTTTACAGAGAATCTTTTAACAAGTCATAAAATGATGTCTCAGTAGTAAAAACAGGTATTAAAAAGAAAAGAGTTCTGACCTAAAATATTATATACCAAAGATCAGTAAAAAAATAAGTACTATAGAGAAAAATTTTAAATATTTACTATTAACAGAACTCAACAGATGACCTTGTCAGAAATCAAGTAAGGCTAAAACAACTATGATTTTTTTTCAAACAAATATATATACCATGTATGTATCAAATCTGTTACCATGTAATTTGAAAAATGTCTTGGGTTCAAAGTCGTTAGGATCCAAACCATCAGCCTCTTCCCACACCTCTTTCAGTTGATCTTTACTTCCCTGTGGATTAATATTTTAAAAGAATAATCAAACTAAAATGTATGCTATGTGTATTAATTATCTCAAAATAAAATACAAAAGTGAGGAAATTTACAGAATAATCAATCAAAATACAAGTACTGGTAATTCATAGTAAAACTGTGCTTCTACAAAGATGTGTTTTCATTTGAACATGGTTTTATAAAGCCACAATCCTTACTGGATGGTTCACTTTGGGATGATTTTCATGTTTCTTCTTCATTTCTTGAAATTTAGACTCTTCTTCTTTTCTCTTTTCCTCACTCAATGTTTTTAAATATTCTCGCCTTTCATGTTCCTTCAACATTTCATATTTTTTAAATTCTTCATGCCGAGTCTTGTCATAGTTTTCCAGATCACTTGTAGCCTACAATAGAACAATGAATTAATGTTAAATTAAAATATGTGTGTTTGAAAAATACAAATAAAGTCATTCTTAATGCAGTTTATATTAGGGGAAGGGGCAAAAAAATAGCAACTCTTCTTTTTTCATTCTACCTTTAAGTCATTAATATTACCAGAGACACAGACACTCAAAGAAATAAAAGTTCAATGCAATTGCAATATTAGGAACTTTCCCATAAGCAAGTAATGCATAAATTGATTTTAAAAAGAAGGGGACTGTATAAACCTGTAAAATAAAGAAAACTAGATTGTGTTAAACCACTTAAGTAAATCTAATAACTGCTAGGTTTGAACATGTAGTTTGATAATTCCAGACAAAACAGAACAAGAGGTCTGTAAACTCTTCTCTAGAACCTTGAGGTCACTACTTGTTTTAGAATATTCTTGATTTTTGAAAAGGTAACATAGCACATGCACCATATATAAAATAAATAAATCTGTAGTGTCTGTAAATCAAACTGATGAGTATTTCTTTAATAAAATCTATAATCACACTAAGTGGACTAACTAAAAACTCTAAATAGCCTTAATATAATTGATTAGTTCAGGTCAATTTTCAAGTTTTAGAGCTCTCTGAATTTGTGAATTATGGATAAAAGAGACTGTACATCACTATTAATATATGTATTAGCCAGGGTTATCTCCCTTCAAAGATATTCCCGACAGAATGTAAATCTATGTTACTACTTCATTAGTTTACTTGTCAAATTACAAGACCTGACAGGCACAATAAAATAGTATTTTTTGGAATTATTCTCACCGCTTTGATTAGCATATCTAAATCTTTGGATTCAAACGTGTCAGGATTCATGTGGTTTAGGTGGTCAAACTGTTTTAGAAGAGCTTGATGGTCTATGCCTACATCTGAAAGATGATGAAAAAACTGTAAATGATAAACTGCTAAAAGCTAGAAACATTTATATAAATAATACACAAGAATAAGTATTCACATTTATTCTTACAAAATTTTAGATAAGTCAGTATGTTAAGAATTAATATTTTCTTTTAAAATATTATATATATTCTTATTCCAGGAAAAGAGAATGTCCTTGAATCTAGGATAGAATGTAATTTAATATATACACTTTATTGATATTTCTAGAAAGATTAGTTGGCTGCCAATAAAAATAACTGTAATTATTTTTTTTTGTTATTTAGAAACTATAACATTTATTACTTTTTTTCCCAAACCAACATTCACTACTTTTTAATTAGATAAGACTCTAATATACTGCCATTATCAAAGATCCAAGTATAATTCCTATAAAGAATTGCTCTACAATGTATATGAAGGACTGATTTGTGCTATTCCAATGAATCCTTTATGCAACAACAAAAATCTAATTCAGGAAATGAATTTTAATTCTAATATATTTTTAAAGAAACATCAATTGTTTTTCTTTGTAAAACAGAAAATGGAAACTATTTTAATTGAGTTTATACAGAAATTCTGGACTATCTGACTATCTTGTAGAACTGAACAAAATAGGCACATGAGTTAATGCTGGAATTCCGAATTCTCAGGAAAAAAAGAATATGCCAACATGAAAAGACAAAGGCAAGAAAGAACATTGTGCACATGGAGAATTCATGCTCTGAATACTCATGATTTCTAAGATCGCAGATTTAAGTATATATGCATGTGTACTGAACATGTCATGTGCATATAAATATGTGTACCTATTGTTTGTTTACTTATTTGTATTTAAAGGCATGTATATATTTACTCAGTATTTTCTTTCCAGCTTCTTACTGAGTCATTGTATTTAAAGGAATTGGCAGACACAGAAAAATTTAATGAAACAACATATGAGCCTATAGTGATGAAGGAAGACGTTCAAGCTGCTTTGAAGGAAATAGTAAAAAATAAGGCCCCAGGAATAGATGGTATACCAATTGACATATTTCAGCTAACAGATGCTGCCCTG